GCTTCCCTCCTCCGTGCTCTTCTATGAGGATGCTTTGCCTTGCCTCGGGCAGAGCAATGGAGTTGGTTGACCATGGATTGAGACTTCTGAAGCCATGAGCTCCAAATAAACTTTCTCTTCTCTCGTTGTTCTGGTCAGGTGTTTTTGTCACATTAAATACTTGGCTTGCAGACATTTTCCCCAGTGGGTAGATAGCCATTGCACTCTGTTGATCGTTTCCTTAGCTGTTCTGAAGCTTTTGACTTTGATGTCTTCCCAGGTTTCTGTTTTTGCTTTTGTAGTCTGACCTGATCAGAGGTAAAGGCCTGCAGGGATGCTTTACTGTCTGGGGAGGGTACTGTGCTACCAGACACTGGTCCCGTTTAGGTCTGACCTCCAGGCTGCAGGGAGGGAGCCAAAAAATCATTGCTGATGTCAGTGTCCAGGAGCTTTTCTCTAAACTTTTTTCTTAGAGTTTTATAATCTTTGTTTTTAGAGTTAAGTCTTCTATTCACTGTGCATTGATTTTTGTATATGGTGCAAGATAAGGGTTCAATTTTATTGTTTTTGCACACAAAGGTTCAGTTTTCTAAGTCCTAGTCATTGGAGGAGCTGCCCTTGCCCTTTTGTGTACTCAGGTGCCTTGTCAGAACTTAGATGACTGTGTATGCAGGGTTTCTGGACCTCGTAGGTCTGGTTTTATGACAGCATGTCATTCTAATCACTGTAGCTTTATCACATAATTTAAAACCAGGAAGCATGAAGTCTCTAACGTTTTCTTTCTTGGATTTTTTTGGGGGCAGGGGGCTATTTGCAGTATTTTATGGTTCCATAAAATTTTAGCATTGTTTTCTCTATTTCTGTGAAGAATTCCATTGGAATTTTGGTAGGGATTATGTTGAATCTGTATATCACTTTGGGGACTATAAACATTTTAACAATATCAAGTATTCCAATGAGCCCAGAATGCCTTCCCATTAGTATGTCTTCAGTATCTTTCATTGAAATTTTACATTTTCAGCATACAGATCTTTCACTTCCTTAAATTTATTCTTAAATATTTTAATTATTCATTTATTATATATTATTATATATAATAGATTGTTTGATTTTCCGTGAGGTTTCTACATTTATATAAACATGCTACTGACTTTTGTGTGTTGATTTTTTATCCTGAAAATTTGCTAAATTAATTTAATAGTTCTAACAGGGTGTGTGTGTGTGTGTGTGTGTGTGTGTGTGTCTATGTGTGTGTGTGTGTGTGTGAGAGAGAGAGAGCGAGGGCGTGCGAGAGATCTTTGTAGATTTTCACAGTTAGCATGATGTCAGACACTGCATCCTGCCTGATATGGATGCCTTTATTTCCTTTTCTTGTCTTACTGCTCCTCCTAGTTCCAGTTTGATGATGAATAGGAATGGTAAGAATGCATATTTGCCTTCTACCAGATCTTAGCAGAAAAGCGTTTTCCATTGATTGTAATATAAGTGTGGATTTTTAATATAGCCTTTATTGTGTTGAGAAACTTTAGTTCTGTTCCTAAACTGATAAGAAAAGATTTCTGATATTTTTCAAGTGCTGTTTCTGTGCCAAATGAGATAATCATTTCATTCTGTTAATGTAATGTATTGCATTGATTGGTTTACAAGTGTCAAAATAGTCATATGCCATGGAATAATTCCACTTGGTCTTGATATATATATATACATTGTGAAGTTATTACCCAAAGTAGGCTCATTAACATATAAATCATCTCACATAGTTGATTTTTGTGGTAAGAATAGCTAACAAATCTCCTTAAGAAGATCTTAAGCATAAAATTATTGACATTAAGTATAGACACCATGTTGTACATAAGGTCTCCAGAATCTATTAATTTTGTAATTGAAATTTTGTATCTTCTGACCAGTGTTTTCCCACTCTCCACCCCCAGATTCCAGGTCACTGTTCTTCTGTTCTTTGAGTTCCAGATTTTAAATTTCACGTACAAATGAGGTCATGCAGTATTTGTTTTTCTGTGTCTGACTCATTTAATTTAGCATAATGTTCCCTAGGTTCATCAATATTGTTGCAAAAGAAGGAATTTTCTTATTTTTTTCAGGCTGAGAAATATTTTATTTTATTCTATATGCTACAATTTCTTTATCCATTATTTGTGGATTTAGGTAGTTTCCATACCTTGGCTATAGTAAATAATGCTGTGATGAACAAAGTAGTACAAATATTATTTTAAGATAATTTTATTTTCCTTGGCTATAGAATTGGGAATGTTGAATCATGGACTACTTCTATTTTAAGATTTTTGAGAAATCTTTGTGTTTTATAATGGCTATACCAATCTACCTTCCTCTAACAGTGTATAAATTTTCTCTTTTCTGCACATTCTCATCAGCACTTGTTATCTTGTGACTTTTTAATTAAAATCAGCCTAATGGATGTGAGGTGATATTTCATTACAGTTTTCATTTACACTTTCCTGGTGATTAGTGAGAGTGAACACCTTTTCATATAACCATTGCCCATTTCTTGTTTGGAAAAATGTCCATTCAGGTCCTTTGTCCATTTTTAAATTGCCCACTTTTTGCTATTGAGTTGCATGAAATTAAAATGTATTTTGAATGTTAACCCCTTATCAAATATATGATTTTGATTTTCCAATATTTCCTCCTATTATGTAGATTGTATTTTCATTTTTTGTTTCCTTTGTTATACAAAACCTTTTTTTTTTTAATTTCATGTAGTCCTACTTGTTGATTTTTGTTTTCTTGGCTGTGCTTTTGGCATTATACCCAAGAAATCATTGTCAAGACCAATATATTTTCTGCTAGTGGTTTTATGATTTCAGGCCTTATATTGAAATTTTCAATTCACTTTGGGTTGGTTTTTATGTATGGTGTTAGATATGGGTCAAATTTCTTTCTTTCTTTCTTTTCTTTTCTTTTCTTTTCTTTTGGAAAGTGGAGAGTCAGTTTCCAATGCATATATTAAAGAGGCTATCTTTCCCCACTGTGCATTCTGGGCACATTGGTGGAAGTCCCATATGCTGGTATCTCACAGTTTTGATTACTATTACAGTTTTGTAATATAATTTGAAATCAGACAGCGTGATGTCTCCAGCTTTGCTCTTCTTGTTCAAGATTGCTTTAACTATTAGTAGTCTTTGTGGTTCTATTGGAAGCTTAGGGTATTTTTTCTACTTTTGTAAGAAAATTTCATTGAAAGTTTGATAGGGATTGCATTAAATGTACCAGTATATCTGGAAAGTATTGACATTTTGACAATATTAATTTTCCAACACATGATCATAGGATGTCTTTCCATTTCTTTGGACCTTTTTCAATTTCTTTCATTGATATTTTATAGTTTTCAGTGTGCAGATGTTTTATCTCATTATTTTGTTTTAATCTTCATTGTTATGGTGAGAATCAGAGAATTCGAAGAGTTCAGCTTCAAAGTTTTAAAGTCAGTTTAGATTAAGATGGCGTGTCTCCTGCGTGTCCTGATGCTACCTATTTCAGCTTGCCACTGAAGTAACTTTGAGAGTGATGAGATCTCACTGGAGTCATAATGCACCCATGGCCTGAGTCCGAAAATGTCCATTAAACAATTAATTAAAAGATTCTGGAAACCCTGTCATTTTCTCAGTGTCTGTCTCTTAGCTCAGAAATGCAAAGGTCACACCACCCAGCGGAGTGAGAAGCCCCTCGGCAGGGTGTGCACTACTTTCCAAGTGGGCCAGGCGTGGCGTCCTTTGTCCTGTCCCCTGGCTCCACGCGTCTGTCCTCCTACATTCAGTGAGCCAGAATTTGGCACCAGGATCAGAGGTGAAGGCCTGCAGGGATGCTTCGGTCACCTAGGAGCCCTCTGGAACAGCCTGAGGAGGGTACTGTGCTACCAGATACTGGTCCCTTTTAGGGTCTGACCACCAGGCTGCAGGGAGGGAGCCGACTTTGACACGGGACAGCAGGGCTGTGAGGCTGGGCAGCTGGCAGGCAGCAGAGATGTAGCCAGTCGCCCTGTACAGCAGCCTGCACAAGGGAACCGTGTTCTGTGCACATTCCAAACAAAATCACATTCTGAAACTCGTCAGTAGTGAGAAGCAAAGGAAATGTTAAAATCTGCTTCATCCTCTGGGTAGGGGGACGGAGGACACGGGACAGAAAGCTATGGGAGAAAGTGCAGCTCGGAGACCGATGCCTAAGAGGGCGAGAGCACCCGGGCACTGCCCTCCTCCTTCCCAGTGTGGTCAGTGCGGCCGTCGGGGATGACAGGGTGGAGAGGCAGAGGATGGGAGACACGTCCAGGAACTAAGTGTGGAAAGAGCAGAAATAGCGTCTGTGGTACAGGAAGACTAGAAACTGAAGGTGAAAAATAGCAAGAGCAGGAAACCTGCTTTAGTAAGAGCCAAGTTTATACAGTATGCTGAAATGTTCTTAGAATGTTTAAAGATGTAACCAGAATAACTTAACATTCGTCATTGATCATTTAATTCCAGGAAAAGATAAGCCAAAAATAATATGGCCAATCTAAAAATAATTAGGAAATAAACACAGGAATGTGGTTTGTGTGTTAATGAACCAGACTTAAAGCAACATTGTCACACACGGGGATAATTGCCACCAGACAATTACCAGCTGAATGTGATAGAGAAGTTGGGGTAGAAAATCTGAAAAGGTGGCACCTATGCTGACTGGAAAGGACTACGCGAAGGGACTCTGAGGAGGCTCCTCCGTAGAGCACAGAGGTATCCAGGTGCAGAGCATTAGGAAGCAGTAAGGGGTCTGGGTTGGCCCAAGGGAAGACACAGGGAAATGTGTCTAGAAAGTGAGTCGGAAGAATAGAGAAGGAACATATTTCCCCTGGGATGTGAACAGCTATATATGTTCTGTATGTAACTTGTCTGGAGATGCGCTGGGGATTAGCCATTTTGATTTTAGGAGATCAAGTATAAAATAACTTTGACCACTCCCATGAGTCTGTGTTCAAATGTTTTTCATTATTCTTTCCCATTTTATTCCCCCAGTGTATTTTAAGGATGGACTACTCATTGCTTCTCGCAAGGTGTATGAAGACACCATCCACTTGGAGTTAGAGTAACCTGGCCTCCAGTCCACATTCCTAGACACTGACCTTGCTCAGGATACTGCACTCAGGTAAAGCAGGCTGGGCAACGGCCTGTGGCTGTGTTGATTCTTGAACCGGTTTCACTCTGGGGAAGATAGCCTTGTGCTTTGAGTATGCATTTTGATTTGGACCCATGTGATCTAGCATTGGGCCTGGAACACAGAGCGAAGTTAGTCCCATGATTTGTGTGTGTGTGTGTGTGTGTGTGTGTGTGTGTGTTTTACATTGGCAACCATAGGTCTTTTCTAGTGGTGGACATTCTGGAAATATGCATCCTATTTTAAATTAAGGCAACTGGAGAAAGAGGCCTCATGTGCAGGCTGAGGGCAGACTGTAGCCAGAATGCCAGGTTTGCACCTTGGCTTGGGACCACGTGGCCTCGCCTGTCCTCCGTGAGTGTGGTGGAGCAGAGATTGGCTCCCCGTGAGGAGCCATGCACGTTGGCATGCCGGGTGAGGCGCTGACCAGCAGTGCTGGGAAACACTAGGGTGCACTTGCAGGTTCTCAGATGCAGCTCACGTTTGAGCTCCTTGTGGTTGGTTAAGTCTGTAGAGGAGAGGAGAGAATTTGCTGTATCTGATTACAAGCAGGAGTGCATCTTCCATCAAAACTCACACGTGACACATTGTGATCAGTTGTACCCCAAGTTTCTGAAGTTAAAAGAGAGGAGAGTCAAGTGCCTGTGAGCCTGAAAGCCACCCTAAGTACAGCACACCACGCCCAGAAGGAACAGGTGTTGACACACTTGCTCGCTCCCCGGTCCACAGAACAGCGCAGGCATCCAGGCTGCAGGCGGTGCGTCCTGTTCTCTATGGGCTTACGGCCCTGCCCTGCACATGTGAGGGCTTGTACCTAACAGACTCCTGGCTCGTCACTATTAGTGGCCGTTTTCAAGCCCTCCCCAAGGTATTTCCGGAAGGCTCCTTATTGTCCTTAGAGCAGCTGTGGGAACAGGACTGTGTGGCCTGCTGCTGTGATCTACATGGGCAGCGGTCAACACTGCTGGCCACACCACCCTTGTGGAGGTCCACACGCACATTCCTTGCAGGAGAAGCTCTCCCTAGGGTCTGGCTTTCTATAGCTCCTGGAATTTATTGTTTTGGGAAGAAGAGAAGCCACAAGTCCTGACCCTGCCCGATGTGGGTGAGTTATTTAACATAGTAGTGCCAGTGTTTCTGTTTCTCACGGCCAACTTGGGCTGCGTCCAGGCTTTGTCTCTGCTCAGCAGGATGATGGGCTGATGCCTGGTGAAAGTTTTGGTTTCCAGGTGTAAAAATTCCACATCTTTTATTGAAATTAGACTAGTGGCTATATTCTTCTCATAGTCCTGTTTTTAAATCCATTTCTTTTCTCAGCTTGATGTTGTTTCTCAGTATGACAAATATTCTGTACTCTGGTATGTAACTTGGGAATTCTTTGATTTAATTATCCTGTAATCTTTGATACCATTTAATTTTGACTTCAGAGGACAAACACAAGAAAAACTTATAACATATTTTTCCATCAAAAATCTAGTATTGTCCTAAAGTAGCATATTGGTAGCTACACAGATAGGCCTCATGGGTTTTTTTTTTTTCCAACTTCTACATTTCCAAATTAGTTTCAATATTGAAATTAAATGCTCTTTTAGAGTAAATTTATAACACAAAGTAAGTGTCAATACTATAACCAAAATGTCTAATTCTAATTCAGGTGAAGCATTGACAGTTCTCATTAGTGGTATTTATTTCTTATTTGTACAATTTTTAAATGGCAGGACTCGTAAAATAAACAATATACAACTGTTATTCAGGCCTATTATTTATGTACAAAAGATTTTGTAATTTAGCTTGATTTGGATCATGTTAAGGTATGTTTAAAAGAACCACACGACAGTGAGGAGACGTTTGGAAAGGTGAAGTGAAAGTGCGCTCTGTCTTTGTAAATCGTGAGAAGCAGTCACGTTGCTCCATGAGACCCAAGAGGCTCAGTTCTCTGAGGCCTGTGGGGGCTGGGGGGTGAGGGAGCCGCCTGTGGCGGAGAAGGACCAGCCCTGTCTGAGGACGGGGTGGCTAGCTTGGAGAATCCAGAGCTGTTTCTTATTTCAAATTCCTGGTTTCTTCAAAGTGAAGAGGTTCAGTGTGGAAAGTCACTCGAAGAGGACAGACAGCATCCTTTTACAGAAGTGATTAAAATATTCTTCACTTTGTATTCAGTGGATGTGGTCCTGGTGGGTCACACTTCCTGGGGCCGGTGGACCTGGGTTTACTTCAAGGACTAACTGTCCTCGAGTAGGTGCTCCCAGACTTCAGGTGCTTCAGTGGCTGGCCAGTGTGTCTGTGCTCTCCAGATGACAGTCACCTGTCATGCGTCTTCAAGGAACACAGATGTGGTGCAGATGCCATCACTCAAAGCCCGGGCGGAAGTCGGCACTCCACGTGGCAGGTGGGCGGCCTGTGCAGCCTGCATGTGGAGTGCGATGTCGTGGTGACCACAGCTGCTGGAAGAGCCCCAGCAGTGACAGCAGGAAGGAGGTGCCCGAGGCCACTGGGTGGAGGAGAGACTGGGGAGAGGGTGGACCCACACTAAGCACAGTGCTCCAAGTCTCGTTTGAAAGTCCATCTGCAACTTACACCAGGAAATCGGATTGAAAGGGCTCGAAAATCTAAGTTGCCTTTTATCACAAACCCAGAGTTCCAGGATAATGTTTATTTTTTTCTACACCAAAGGGAATAATAGAAGTTTTATACCTTAAAAGGAAGAACAAAGTCTTGACTATTTGCCCTGAAAATAGAGCAGCAGAGCAGCACCAGGAGAGCCCATTGGGCCGAGAAGCAGGGGCGTGGCGGCTGGGAAGCTGCACCCCGTGGGGTCCACAGGCTCCAGACAGGTGCAGCCCTGGCACCCCACCTCAGCGTCCTCTCGCCTGGAGGAGACACCTCTCAACAGTGAGCAACAGACTTCCTTCTCCTTTTGAGAGCTAGCTTGGCCACTCCAAGGGCAAACAGGGACGTGGCTGTCCCGCACCAGCCTCTCCAGCGTTTGCAGGGACCCCAGAGGGGAACCTCAAGGTGAACTGCTGAGAATCCAGCCCTTTTAACCAGCCTACCATGTGTGTGGAAATCAGAAAGGAGTGAGATTCTACAATGAGTTAAATTCTTTGAGTCCTGCCTACATATTTAGCTATCACTTAAGTGGGCTTAATGGGGTACACTTAGGCTTCTTTTTTTAATATTTGTTTTTTAGTTGTAGTTGGGCACAATACCTTTATTTTATTTATGTACTTTAATGTGGTGCTGAGGATGAACCCAGGGCCTCGCATGTGGTAGGTGGGGCTCTACCGCTGAGCCCCAGCCCAGCCCTAGGCTTCTTGCAGTCAGGGAAATCATGGGAAATCTTTACTGTGCAGCAGCTCCTTCATTCAGCCTGGCTACGGCACCTGGAGACGACGGCAGGCCTTCTGCACGTGTGACTCTGGAGATGAGATGAGGCCTGCGGTCACCACTAATGAGATGTGCAAGGTGGAGGCCTCATGGTGGATTTATGGCAGTGAAGAAGCAGCAGAAGCAGGGACTTGGTATGAGAGGTGGTCACCCAGTGGACAGCTGGGCAGCAGCATGGACTGTGGGCCAGGTAAATTAGAAGGTGCAGCTGCATGAAGCATCCCAAGGGGTGGCTACTGTGACTTCACATGGAAGCAAAACTGAGTTCTAAAATTCACGTAACCTGCCTCAGGAGCACAGTGGTTCAGCCCACGTCTTACCTGTGCTCCTCCCAATAGTACACAGACTCTCCTGTCCCCGTCAGGGACAAGCAGGAGATACCCAGGAGGCAGAGGGATGTGGCTCAGAGCCTCACGAGGGCAGTGTGTTTTGCAGTAATCAATAGGTGACAATTAATTTACGCTGTCACTGGATCCCCTCCAGTGTGGGCAGAGAAGGGACAGTGAGGGACACCGTGGAGTGGACAACTAGCAGCCAACATCTCCCATGATTTGGGGGTGGTTCCTGTGCTCTCAGCTGATCTCTCCTCTGTCCCTCACTTGTCACCTGTGTCTCCCACAGAGTTCCTGCTGTGTCCCTGCAGCATTCCCTGGTGTTTGCCACCAGCACTCGCTGCAAGGATGGCCAGGGTTGGAGGATTGGCCTGGGCTGCAGTGGTGAGTCCTGGGTCGGAGGAACCTCTGCCACCTAGTGGTTAGAGGCTGTGACCTTCAGATCCTTTACCCCAGTGTTGTCAGGAGATGGTGCTTCCCCGCTGTAGGGCTGCGTGCTTTCAGCCATGTAGCTGCTCGACATTCGCTGCCACTGGTCGCTGCAGGCACAAAGAACAGTCACACTGTTTCCATCTCCAAAGTTCTGTGTTTTCATGACTCCTTACTCTCTAGAATTTTGATTCATTATTCTATTACCGCTTAACTATTACGATGTTAAAATTTAGACATAGTTGTACTCTTAACCAAAAATCAAGTAGACAAACAGAAGGGCCCGATTCACTCCATATGGTTTGACTTAAGAGCCTTCAACCATGGACTGGGCATGAGGCTCAATGGGAGCACGCTTGCCTAGCATGTAAGAGGCACTGGGTTCGATTCTCAGCACTGCATATAAATAAATAAATAAATAAATAAATAATATAGCCCATCAACAACTAAAAAAATATTTTAAGAAAGAGACTCCAACCTGGTGCACACAGACCATCATTTTGTGTTTCACTTTGGGTTCAGTAGTCAATGCATTGCATGATACAGGGGCTTGTGGTAGATGATTGCAGCCAGCTGCGGCCAGTGTGAGCGTTCTGAGCCATTTAGGGAAGGCCAGGCATTGCCCAGGAGTTGGGTGGGCTGGGGGTACCAGGTGCACTTTCAACCTGATATTGTCGATGGCTGGTGGGTTATCTATGTGGCCCACGGTAAGCTGAGGGCCACTTGTAATAGCATGTTACTATGATTTTAAATTACTGGATATAGCTGTGCCAAGTCATTAAAAGTAAGACTTGTCTGCTCAGTGAGATTTCCAGGACAAATGAGCCTGTGAGAATGGGTGGCTGG